GATGGAAGCCCAACTCTACAGCTCCTCTGTCTGCCTGCGACTACAGCAGACTGACGCGCCGTGCGACATTTAATGAGTGCGGGGAGGAGCCAAAAACACGGAGACAAGACAAGACATTTATTTGTAATGTGAAGCTGGAAGTGGCGGTGTCCTCCCTGTTCAGAAGACACACACAGGTCAACAGGTGGAAAATCAGAAGGAGCAATGAGCTCCTGCGCCTCTCGCTGTGTATTTATGGGGGGGGGGGCACGTGATTCAACTGTGACAAACATATTTTAGTGCATCAATCTTGCCTCACCACTTCATCAGGTGTAAGCCTGCACCTGTGGGTTGGAAGAGACAGTCTTATAGTTACATGGTTGTATCTGTGAACGTGGTATAAGTGTTCAGTTTTACATTAACATTGCTGTATGTGTCCTAATTATTGATACTTTACTATTAGATCACTACAAAATAAATGATTGTCATCTTATATGTCCCATGGTTGGTCTACAGTATAAAGGCCTATACAACACATGGTATTTTTTGTTGTAATGCATGTAGCCTACTTTATCTATGGTTTGTTCTCAATGGTCAGGCAATGCCCAAATAGAATTACAGACTTTATGTAACATGAGCAGTAGGTTAAATGAGACTTTTGTCTATGTTGTCACTTTATTTATTCTAGTAGAGCAATATAACTTATCCTGTGATAGTTTAACTCTTACATTATAAACAGATGGCAGCATCTGTAGCCTTACACAATATAAGCCACAGCTGCCCACATGAAGCCTTGTTTCACATGTTCAGACAGTGTAACAAAAAACTCTTTTCTGTGATGGGTTGGTTCTGTATATCAAGGCTATTTGATGCAAAATAAAAGCAGCTCTAACAAAATGATTTGCACTGCTGTCATATAACACTGGAGAGTTATTGCAGTTGTTGCACAGGCACTGAGCACGGCAGTCAGTGGCAGCTGTGGGTTGTGTAAGTCTACAGAGGCTGCCATCGGGTCAAGCTTCCAGGTAAGTCCTGCTCTCTGTGGCTTCTGCCAGAGAGTCTGCCAGAGGGCACTCACCAAGCCAGTACCTGCTGAAGGTGGGCACAGGACTAATGTACAGCTGCTGGCAAATAGCAGCCAAATGTAGCATACCATATTAGCTCTCAAGTCAAGTTTTAATCTATAGAAACAGAAGTCATGCTGATTCAAAAAGGAGGCCAGTAGCAATTTAACATCCACAGTACATCCAGACTCCTGGAATTTTGGCACTTCACCATACTATAGGGAAACTATATTACAAACACCCAATTGAAGAAATTAAATGAATAAATACACACTCCAGTCTAAGCTTTTGTGTTTGTTTGATGCAATAATTCTGCTGAAGTCATGATTCTTAGAACGTTTTCAGTCACAGCCCCCGTCCATGTCGGGGCCCCATATCACTTTATCAAATTAAATATTATAGCCAGTCTCTACTGGAAAAATCTTTTGCACTTTGTATCTAATGCAATCCCAAAAAGGTAAACTGATAGCACATATCTGGGCCCAGGCATCATAACTGTTTTTGGATGAAAGCCGTCATACAGTCGTTGACATGAGACTGTTGTTGTGAAATGTCAATATCTAACAATTTGGGACATCAGCGATATAATCACGCAATTTTACATTACAGTCTCAGCAACAAACCTCTAATATTAATCATGTTTTCTCTCTGTTATTTTGGCATTTACTGTACTTAACAGTCGAGATTGTAAGGATGTGATGAGTTCAAGTTGTTCAGTCAGTTTTTCCTGCATATAATATTTTGTCATGTGTTATGCAATCCCATAATTAATCTAACCTGTTTACACGTTTGTTTTTTGTGTTCCATTTTCTTACATAATTCATTCAGTGTATGGCCATCGTATCTGTAGAACAGATACCAAATCATCTGTAGATAGGACTTTATCATGCAAGCTTCCTTTCTATATTTGTTTTACTTAAGGACTCACTAAGCAGTCAAATTTACACAACTCTTCAATCATAAAAAATGTCAAGCCACTGTTGTTGTATGTATCTGTAATAACTTGAGGGCCCGGAACTCCATTTATGTTTCTTTTCTTTTCAGAAAATAAGGCTAGATAAGATATAAAGAAGAAGGATTCAGTGAACACTATTGTACTTTGACCACTGTCTTCAAAAAGAAGTCAATAATGTTGTTACCCTGACCTCACTCACAAACAGTTAACAACTGTGAGCAGCTGTGGTCATCACAACAATGCCTTTACAGTTTTTTTCAATTGCTAAGATGCAATGGTCAAAACTGAAGCCACTTTTTCAAAAGTCTGCATTACCAACATGCATCCTGGCCAAACAGTTAATCTCACCTCTAAAAGTCACTCAAACCACCAAAACACTTCAAGTAAGCCTCAAAATAAACTCGTTCAGCCAAAACACTGGCAACAATACCCACTCAGAAAGCATACATTGTCACTCATAACACACTGACCTACAAAACACTAACAACAGGAAGCATTACGTACATTTGTTGAACTTTTATCCCTGAAATGTTCATTATAGAATCCAGTTGTTTTCAGTCACTTTGATACATTTCTCACATCTTGTTCAACCTCCACATCATCCAGTCACTTGTGCACATCATATGTAAAAGCAATTTCTCAGTCTTTTGAGAAATTGCAAATTGCACATGCTTTGACACTTTTATGCAAATTATTATGTACATTTGTCTGCTGTTTCCTACATTATCAATTGCTTACTCATGGTGATCACAATTTATTACAGTATACTGGTTCTTTGTTGAGAAGTCTTACCCCCCAAAACATCTAGACATAAGTTCATTGCGTAAGTAACTACATGCAAAATGGTTGAACATGTCATAATCTGCATTTTCCTACATGTGTCTATTAAACTTGTTTTGTAAATGTGTCCTACAGTAAATTGATGAAGTTCTGATCTGTTGTGCTGTGAATAAGAATCTGTGGCCCAATTGACAGGAGCATCAACCTGGGGGGGTGTTTTCATGTTTCCATTTCTTAGTTTGTAATTGTTTCTGTTGTGCTATGCAGTGCTGTAAAATAGTCTTGTTTTTTTTTTTCTGCATCACAATGACATGGTGTCAACAAATTACAGTGCATACAGTAAAAGTGTAACCGTGAATCCTGTCCAATCTCTTGCAATGTTTACTGTAACTCTGTACTGTTGAAATGTATTTATGCCGTACAGAAAAAGTACAGCCTTCTGCATTTTCAATCATCAAAAGTTTAGTCATAGTTTACCAAAACAAATAGTTTTGCAAATGTACCAAAGCGACTGGAAAAAAATGGAAGAAACCTGTAACATATTTTCACTTTATTGACTGTACTATAGTATATGTTACAAGAATGAATCAGAAATGCAATCAGTAATTTACTTGTGAAAAAAAGAAGTTCCTGACATTTCAGTGCTGCAATGCACTTTTTTCCAGTTGTTTACATAGTTAACAGTGGTACCTGAGACCCAGTGACCACAGTCTGTAATTGATGTACCATCCCCTTGAACCAGTTCTGCTAAAATACAAGCACATTTCTTGCTTTACACTCAGCTTGAAGTTTTAACCGCAGTAAAACCGCATTCAAAACATCACACATATTTCTCTAAAACATAAAATGGATGTAAATGTTCTGCAAAGATTTTCTATATATACTGTATCTGTCCAGCTACAGCAAAAATTCAGGAAATTTCCAAACATTTTGTTTTGAACGTGTTTTGAACAGTTTTGGACACAGTGTGTTAGCATTTGAAAAATGTGCTGCAGGTATTTAATGTTTTGCAGGTGGTGAAGTAGTAATGGGAAAAGAGTTCATGGATTTTGGAGAAAGTGGTCATTGAATGAATTTTGTGTGAAAGCAATGAAAAATGATTCACAGTTTTGTCCACATACACTTCTGTTTTGCTGACTATGTGAAGAGTGTGCATGTGAGTATTTCAGGCCCTGTGTGTGTGTGTGTGTGTGTGTGTGTGTGTGTGTGTGTGTGTGTGTGTGTGTGTGTGTGAATTTTCCCCAACAAGGGTTAATAAAGTAATTCTCCTCCTTGTTCTTCTGAAACACAAAGCCTGCTCATTGCATCCGTCTTGTCATGTGATTGCAGCTCTGCAGAATATGAAATGTATGAATGTAATAGGTCTGTTCAGATTACAATTAAAGACCGTAGAGTCACATTAATTCTATCTCTGCCAACGTTTTAGTGCTTGCTTTTTAATTCTTAAATATAATATTTCCTCAGTTACTATATAGTCTTTTTTGCATCACAGTACTTCTGCAAGTTTTTCTGTTAGTCAGCATATTAATCCACCCCCCCACCCCAACCACACACACAAATCTTGTCTAGACTGTGTTGAAAAGATCAGGGTCAGGATCCTTGTCCAATCTGCCAATCATTTCATTTGGAAATATCAGGATCCTGCAATCTCATATAAAAAGTGTGCCAATGTTCACAGACTGTCTTATCATTTGGGAACCAAAACCAGGCACTCAACGTTTAATGTGGAATTTAGAACCAATAAAACAATAAGTGAGACACGTATTCATTTTTATTGAGCGTGTTTGATCTACATATGACCAAAACCACCCTCAACCCCAGTTTAGTTCACGTCCATTACTCATTTCACAACAAACTTGATGGGAATGCACATCTTAGTAATTGAAATACTGTAAATGTAAGAATTTAGGAGCAAAAACATATTATTTGTGTTTTACCATGTTGTTTCACATGTTTAAAAAGTATTGAGATCTTACCAATTCAGACACTCACTCCCGTAAGTCATTATAATGAGAAACTTTCTCGAAAAAATGACTTAGTATCTCAAAATAATTTTGTATATAACCTTTTTTTGTGAGTATCATAAGGGTAACAACAACTTAATCTCATTACACAACCCTGTGTTGTAAAATGATAAATACATCCAACTTAGAAGTAGAAGTATAAAGTAGCACAAACTATTCCTTTTATGTCTCGATATAAAAGAAACAAAAGAAAATCAGTTGAATTGTGTATATAAGATTTTTATTTTCTCTGTTTATTGCATTTGGAAAGATACCAAATCATGAAATTACTGGCGTTTTATGACAGTCGCCCCAAATGATGTTGTAACCCAAATTCAACTCTATGACTGTTTGAGAAAGTGTAAGATGTTGCACAAAATCCATAACCCCAGACAGATGCCACAACTGGGCGATCCAGCTGAACAATTTCTTACACAGCTCTGAAAAGTGACAGCAGTCTGAATGAAGAGCCAGCTTTCGGTGGACACATAAACATTTGCATTGTGGTTGATTTTCTTTTACACAGTAGTTGATTCCGACCTTATCAGAAACAGCAGTGTGTCTTGTTGCAGAACCAGTATAATTATTACCAACAACAATATTCATATTTAATTAACAGAGAGAGAGAGAGCAAAGTCAGGCTTACAGAGCCAATCAAAGGGTACATTTATCTGAGCTCGCAGCACCACAGCTTCACCCCTTCAAAAAATACAAAATAGGTATGATGCAAATTAGTGACAACAGGCATAAACGAGAAACCAGTGCTTGCAAACTGTTCCCAGGTACGTATTGAATATGCGCAAACAGGCATTGGGGAAATACATACGCCATCTCAGCTGCAGTCTGAAAGGAAGAGGTGTGATGCGAATTTGCGACAATCTGCATTAAGGGGTTAAGAAATAAATAGGCATTTTAATCCACTCCATCAGTCTACTTTACACAAAGTTCAGGTGTGTGTCCTTATCCACTCCATAGTTGCCTTTGTGTTCCTCAAATAGATTGCTGAGTTCATCCATGTACAGCTGGTGGAGAGCATCAAGTTCCTCGGCCGTTGGCTTCTCATTCCTCTCCACCCTAATTGGCTGTCCAACTGCAGAGAGGTGACAAGGTGAAGAACAGAGTCAATGTACTTTATGATTTGCAAAATAGTCTGTTTGCTTCTCCCAGAGGTCTGTTTATTTAAAACATGATGGCATTAGGGCTGCATGCCAACCAGAAGGCGGTGGTCTATCATTGACTCTCAAGTTGACTATCAAGTGTGGCTTTAGCAGACAGGCTATATATAAATAAATAGAATATCGCTGATGAAACAGATTTATATGTTAGCTTACCCTGCTCCATTCAACAGTACGCTGCTCTTGTGTTATTGCCACAGTAATTCTTAACATTGTCTAGATAATGTTCATAGATGCTTTAGGAATAATCATTTTGTATTGGGTGCCTGAGCTGTTGGAGAAGGCAAATCACATTCAGTGCCCTTCATATCAAAGCAAGTGGTTTGGTTGGCTACACATACAGGCAATGATACTCGGCTTGGCAGCTAGCCAGTGTGATATTATCAATTTTCAAATTGATCAATCTTAGCAATACCTTTATGTAGATTAAAATAAATAAAGTAAAATAATTGTATTTAACAGAAATAAATTGGAGATAATCAACATGCAAAGCAAAGTGCATTTCCCTGAAATATGCAGAAATACCCACAGTGGCTATTTTTAACCTGATGCTTAGCATGAGATAAACACTTATTCAGAAAAGAGACTTGAGACCTGGCTTGCTTTATTGACCAGGTCATTTTATACGTTTACTTGTTTTATGGGAGTAATTCTACTTGTACTTGAGTAAAGATTTTTAATATTCTAACCACCACTTCATTTGACAAATATTTTCTCACAGTTACTTAAACTCCTTTGCTATCTCAGTGATATTAGATGTTTCTGCCAAAGTCAACAGTTGGTTGGGAAAAACCTATGCATAGATAATATAGCTCAGTTTTTGAGCGCCAGGCAGAGTCTAAAGCATTGCATCCTTTGTTTGATCTATGCATTTGATGTTTACAGCAATAGCACAGAAACTACAGATTAAAGCTAACAGTGCAGAAAGAAGCTAATTGTATACTGTAACCTTCTGCGGGTACTTTACTTTATTCTTACAAATTATGGTTTCAAAAGGATTCTTCCTGAACAACTAACTTCAAGGTTGTTAGGTTCTTCAAGGATTGTTGACAGCATGGATGGTAAAAGATCCTCATCCAGGGCTGGCTAAAAGGCATAGACCATGTAGCCAGTCGCCTGAAGCGCCAGTTTCTAGTTGTCCCCACGCTGGTCGCCCTCAGAAGGCAAGGCAAGAAAGAAAGAAATACCCTTTGCACCCCTGTTCCTTTGCGTCTCACAACTGGCCTGCACTTGTTGTGTACTGTGCACACTGAAGTGGAGGATTACCATTTGATTAGCATCACAGACAGCGTGCTCCAGAGACTGCCAGAGATTGCTAGACTGACTGACACTGCTGAACAGATGTCAGGATCTATTTTCATATTTTATATGATAGTGAAAAGGTCTGAGCCTTCAGGTGCGCAAGGAAGGAAATGGAGAAAAGATGAAAAGGTAAGAAACAATAACATAAATAAATAAATAAATAAACTTTGTGGGGTTCTCTCACTTTCACCTGACTGTGTGCCAGTGGACACATATTAATATAGGAGTTGGAGGACAGGCTCGTTCAGTCTTTTCCTCTGTCACCATTACTATGTGCACATAGTCCTTCTGCTTTCATTGGAACTTGCGTGACTTTGTTTGAAGATGGCTCAGATGTTTTACTCGTTAACACTAGTTTGAATGTTTTCTGAATTTAAACATTGGCAATTGTAAGCTAGATTGTTAAAATGATGGATGACTGCAATATACAATAAACCCCTGGGTGGTTTCTACATGAACCCTTGGAATATAAAAGCGTATTCGGTAGAACACCTTGGGTAGGTTCCAGATGAACCCATGGAATATGAAAACGTGCTTGGTAGAACCCCCTTTGTGGGTTCCAGATGAAACTCATGGAACATAAAAAGGTTCTCTGCAGAACCCAGAGCAAAGCTGTTTACTCACCTACTGTGTTGATGGGTTTTCTGTAGGGTATGAGACCAAAGGAGTACTGGAAAATGCCACGTCCGTGGAAGAGAGGCAGCGAGATACCCATGATGCTTTGCAGCCGTTCCTGTATCCAACGAAGCCAGGTTCCTCTTGGGTTTTTCACTTGTTCAAACAATTCATTCTCGCCAAAGGAGAAGACTGGCACCAGATGAGCACTAAAAAAGATTTAAGAAAAATGTTGTTTAACTGATTAACTAATATCATCCAGTAGTTGAAATCCTCTTGTTTTACATAAGTTCTTTCAATCTAAATTGATCTCGTAACGGCCTATGTGATTTCCCAGGAAATTCCCTGTGAGGGACATGAATAAGCCTCTGTTTCAAGAGGCCACGCTCATGCCGCAAGAAACCTAAAATGAATAGATCAACAATAAACCTTTCAATAAGCCATAAGACCTTGGAAAATTAGCTGTATTTAACATTCCTCATTCCCGCAGGCCCCTCTGCTCTTACCCGTGCTCCATGGCCATTTTGATGAAGCCTTTCTTCTTGGCCAAGAGTACATTGTAGCTCCCAGGGTGGGCATCAAGGGCCTCTGGGGCCCCACCAACTGCTATTACAACAGCATTACCACCACCCTTTCGGCGGAGCTGATAGCTGGCGCTCTCTTTGTCTGAAGGAATCAGACCTGCAGAAAATAAGAAGAAATCAAAATGATATACAACGATCAAAATAAGTAAAATAATTCCTTAAATTGAATAAAATACTGTATAGTTATACACCTGATGATAAAAAATACAGCTTTACTTTGTCAGTATACTCAGCTGATTTAAAGAGACAGTTGAATGGCCATTCCGACTGAGTATGATTAAGTTTTCTGGCCCACACCTGCACACATGATGTAGTCTCTGAAGAATGGGGCTCTGAACCAAAGGGGCAACATGAGCAGGTAGCTGGTGAGGCCAGGAAACAGTTGTTTGAAGCCTGTGGCATAGGTGCAGAAGTTGGTAAAGGCTCCTGCCACTAGCACGCCATGGGGATGGAAGCCCAGGACGTAGTTGTGCCTGGGGTCCAAGTCAGCTGTCTTCACCAACTTGGGGGGAAGGAAAGAAAAGAACGTTGTGCAAATGACAGCATTAATGTCGGTCCAGTTCTGTGTCTGAATAAGGATCCATAATCGTGGAGATTAATCATGGAGAATATTTTATTTTGGATCATCCGATTTCTCCTAAAAGAGCTGACAGTGTTGCACCGTGGTGGCCCAGCTGGCTGCAACCCAAACATGTGCCTCAATATCCCAGTTTCAACACTGGCAACCCTCTGACCCTCTACCATCCCTCCTGTCTGTGGCCTCCTCAAAGTGTCTGAAAGCATTTAGAACCAGCCTACTGTAAATTTCCCTTCCCCTCTTACCCACACAATACCCTCAGTTGTACATTTACTCAAGTACTGTACTCAAGTACAATTTTAGGTACTTGGACATTTACTTGAGTGCTTCCATTTTATGCTACTTTATCCTTATACTTGACTACATTTCAAAGGGAATAGTATTTTCACTCCTTTACATTTATCTGACATGTATAGTTACTGGTTACTTTTCAGGTTATTATGACCAACCTCTTTGGCATGTGACCCCTTAAAAAGCACCATCATGTTGGGGCCTTGTGTTACATTTCTCATCTATGAGTTAGCAGTTTCACCAAAGAGTTATTCTAAAGTCTTAGATTGTTTTATTTAAACAACGGTTTGAGGCTGAGAGAGGTCAAATTATTCAGTATTTCACAAAAAAAGCAAACATTTGTGTTGCAGAAGTTTGTTTGTTTCTTCCCTCCTGTTTTAATAATCATCTCACAACCCCTCAGATTTATCTGGTGACCCTTTCAAGAGAGCGGAGGGGCCCAACATCTAGGGTAGGAAGCAGTGGACTAAACTGCCTAACAACTAACTCGTATTCGAGCAGCTACAACAGAACAATAAGTACACAATGACTTATCATACACACAATGTCGAACAATCTTATAATGTTATATTTATGTCAGTCACAGGGGCCTCACTGCACCTCTACTGCAAAACCAAAATTATTACCATTCCTTCCTTTCAGGCCACGGACCTGGCCTACCACTTTACTTCCGGTAGGCCGCTCTCAGCACAATTAATCTATTAACACAAGAACTTGTAGTCCATCTTTATCCTGCCAACGAGAATTCAACAAGCAGGCTGCAAACTTTTCATATCAGCCACCGGCCTCTCTCTCTCTCCTGTGTTTCTCCTCTCTATGTGAACGGTGTCATCTTCTGTGTTCGTGTGGCCTGACCTCTTTCCAGGTCTCTGTGGTGGAGAGAAGATGGTGCGGCTCAGAGCTTACTTAACGGGTGACACTTGTCCTCCTGGATCCATCCTCTTCACTTATCTTTTACAATCTATAATACTGTGCAAAAGTTTTAGGCAGGTGTGGCAGATGTTTCAGTTAATGATTGTATTTCAATCTACATATTGAATTGGTGAACATTAGCACCTGTTTGGTATAATTGCTTAATCATACACCTGCCAACCGAATCCCTGAAGGCAGAGGGTGGTCCCACCAAATATTGATTTTATTTAGATTTTTGTTTTGTTAATTGATTTTTTTAAACATTCTTACTTTACAGCAATTTTTTTCACACCTGCCTAAAAAGTACTTTACATTTTGTCATCATAATTATATATTTTTTTGCATGTCTATCTCTACTTTAGGTTCCTTCTATTTTTTCCCTGCTAGGGTTTTGTTGGGGGAGTTCACATTCAACTCAACGGTTTAAGGAGTATTGTATGCTCTGTTGTTCCTGTACCACATCTATGTACTGTACTGTATATACATTGAAATTTGTTGTGTGTCAACGTTGTGTGTTTCAATTCATTTGTTGCACAATTATTTCAAATAGTAGACCATTACCGCACCAAATTAGCATTTTACTTAACATTGTTAGAATTTTGAAAAAGGATAAAAATCAAGCAGCAACAAAACAAAGAGAGACATGCAGACTTCCTCCTTGTCAAACTCCCCTTAAATACTTTATATGTTTGTTAGTGTGTTCATTCCCCGAATACAAAATAAATAATATTTTGACCTAGGAAGTATTGATTTGAGGTTCCTTGGTTCACTTATTCAGGCGATAAGATTCAGGGCTTTAAATGTTCCAGCAGTATGCAGCTGAACAGGCGTTTCTCAGTTTGAGGACAGCAAACCTCCAGGAGGAAAAAAAGGACTGGAGCACACTGATTGATATTACCATAATTAAGACTACAAGTCAATCAGCATGCTCCACACCCCTTATTTCCTCCCACAAAATGAACTCTGCTGGTGTGGACTTATGCTGCGTTCCAGACACCTTCTATTCAGATTCTACATCAATGTACATGCAGAACAGGTTTTAATGTGTGATTGTATATATAATTTAATACAAGCTAATATACTTTATGTTGCCTTTTAGTTTAAGGTGAACAATTTACAGTGTATGCTTCCATGGGAGCTACCATTGCTGTGTGACATCATTCAGCTGTTTCTTGTGAAGTCAGGGTACATATTTTTTCTGACTTCAAGTGGTGTTCCATGTTTTTTTTTCTAGTTGGAGGTTAGTAATTACCAAGTTCGGAGTTGCCTGGAGCGCATCTTTACAAACACCCTAGAATAGTGTCATAGTCCATTTGTTTGTCACTGGGTAGGAACTCCAAAGAAATGCTTTAATGTTTACATATAACACCGATGATTTTTCTTTTTGGCAGGTAAAGTGATGTAGCATTAGACTGGGCATGTAATCAATCCTTGGAAATTGAGAAATATTTCTCTGTAGTGTCTGAAATAATAGTTCTAGATAATCGACTGTAACATACTAGATAAAATATCTCTCATGTGGAGCATTGTTTGTGAGCTCCACTAGCCCACAGCGGGCAGGGAGGAGATAGTGAGGTATTAAAGGTCACTGTCAAGAGTAAAGAGTTGCTAGTCATGTGCTGTAGTTTGTTTTGCAGCAGCAAGCTATCTGCTTCCCTCTCTTTTTGTATCTGTGTGTGAGATTAGTAATTCACTGTTCTCAGGGAGCCATGCTTTCTCAAGGACAAATAGGCAGCTTGAAAGAGGGAATTTTATATTACTTATATCACTTTGATTCTATTTTTACTTTGACTTTTTCATCCAAAATTTTAAAAAGTCCTCCTCCAGAGTTGTGTCACCACCATATAATTTGTATCGCTATTCTCCCTGCCAAGGACTTTGGTTTAAGTCAATAAAATATGGTACACCAAAAGCCTAAAGAACAATGATTTACTTTTTAGTGATGGATCCAGATGTAAATCTGTGTTTTGTTTAGTTTTTTGAGGATTTCCCACTATAACATTGTGGGTTTTTTCACTATTATCTCCTGAACTGCACTTTCTTAAGTGGAGTGGCATTTCAAGTACAGACCAGCCCACTTCTGTCTAAACAGATGGTATGCCAAATTTTACCACTGCTGCTCCAACATTTTCTACAATTTTGGTACATAAAATCTGAAAAATAACATTTCTTTTTCACTTACCTATACCACATTTTATACAGTTCCTGCTTGTGTAAAGCCCTGATATTCTCTGGATGTGGGTTTTCTCCAAATTAATGGTAATTAATTAATCTCAATGTGTATTCTGCTGCAGATCCAGACTGAAACAACTTGAAAATGTCTTAACATTTAATATCATTAAAATAACTTGAGTAGAGGACCGTAGAGCCTTGGCAGACGTGCTCTGTTAGTCCTTTAGCTACATAATTCGTCATTCTGTCTGAATGTGTCCTCTTAAAAACCCAGTGAGCACACATCAGCTGGTTAAATTTCAATCTGATGGTGTGATTAGGTATGGTGGGAAAAGACACCCATGAAACTAATTAGGGTCTCTAAAAGGACACTGCTTCTTACCGCTTACATTGACTCCTTGTATTAGACTTAATGTGGCATAGAGTCAGATGATAGTGGAAATGATTCACTTTGAGGTGGATATGTGAGATCAGGGCAAACAGGGAAGTTTTTAGTCTTGGAAAGGACTGTATTTATCTTGGGAAGAAAAAAGTAGAAACAGTATCAAGAACATGTTTGTTTTCAGGAGTCATTTTTTAAACACACAGAAAGTATGAAGGTGAAAGTAGTAGTAGGCTAGCAGTAGTAGAATTAATATTTCTGGATTTAAATCAAAGACATTTCTGTATCATCTATATTTTAAAATGGAGAATTCTAATCTCAGATGTTTCCCAGCTTTTACTGAATTTTATCCTCTGCTATAAAATAAAACAGATTCTGATTAGTTCTGATTCAGTTCAACTAAACAGGACAATATGTATTACTGTTACTATTCTTTAAGGGTATAAAGGTTAACTCATAACAGAAATGAGCCTGAATATCTCATATCAGTTTAAGATTCTGACATTATATTCTTTTTGAAAGCAAATTTTAAACTCTGTTTGCCTGAAGAAAGTTGCTTTCCAGTTATTTTTCATGGCTAAAACAAATGGTATAATGCTGTTGGATTTGACATAAAATATTGAGTTTGTCTTGATCAAAACCTAGTGATCAAGGTTACCTTAAGTTATATATATGCACTACTCATGCATGGCCACAAGAGGGACACAACAGGCTACAAGAGAGAAGCTTGTAATGAACAATCAAACCTCGGTGGCATTAGGGCCAGTTTAAAATATTTGTAATGTCACATCAAACCAGTGCTAATTTATCTGAAGTACAGATGCCAAGGTTTGAAAAATCACTAGGAGGACACTGATCTACAAGATTAAAGGAATAGTTTGACATTTTGGGAAATGCATCACTGCTGTTTGTGATTGTGTTTTTTAAATGATACTTATTCCAAATACAGTACAGTAGTGTTTAAACAGAGTGACAGAGCGGAGCAGGCACATACAGGCAGGAGAGAAGTCCCCCCCCCCACAGATCATTAGACAAAGTGATGGTCCTTTAACTTAATTGTTGCTGAAGAAGTGATGCCCCGCTTACAGAGAACACATAAAAGCTTTATGTTACAAATTTATGAGGTTATTAGAAAGATCCGCTTTACCAGTGATTAGAAGAAAGCAGAATAGACTTTTGGTTTTTTTTGCAAAAGCAATGACTTCCTGGAATGGTCTGTCACCCGAGGTTGCAAGACAACCTTAGAAAGTTTCTTGTGACTAAGACCAATCAGTCCAACATAACCCGTATTATTAATACTGTAAAAACTGTAACAGTAACAGAACCAGGCTAGCTGTTAACACCTACTTCCAGTCTGTATGCTCAGCTAAACTGTCTACAGCTTCATGTTTACCAGACATGGGAGTGGTATCAATCTACTCATCTATCAGCAACTTGAGCAGCAACGTATTTTTCTTTTAATTAATATAATCTAATAATGATAATATAAACTTGTGTGCAGCCTTATCCTTGTCGTTCATGAGTATAATATTTTATTTCTATTTATTTCTAAAAGCTGCCTCTCACCTTGATGGGGAAGTAATCCCTCATGTATTCCCAAAGTCTGAGGCCGCACAAAAGGGGCACCCTGCGGCCGCCACGTGCAGGAGTGTCATAGTCAAAGAACCACCAGACAGCGTACAGCACACTGATCAGCCAGAAGCGAGTGAACAGCAGGTAAAAGAACAGGAAGATGCAGCTGGGTGCTGAGGAGAGGAAGAACGTGTGTAGTGAGCAGCAGCAAGAGCATACTGTAAACAAGTGCATTATATAACCATCCATTCTGATACAATAACAAATGTAAAACACGCTATGTGAATGGTTTATTGAAGATAATGTGCATGGTTGGAATTAGCCACTTAATGAATGGGAGATGTCTGCTCTGCATTAATAGCATTGAGTTCTGCAGGAGACAGCAAATAGACCCTTGCTGTGGAGGAATGTGTAGGTATCAGTGGTTTCATTGGACGCACACAGTCATCAGTGTTCAGTTGCCAAACGTCTTTCAAAATCTTGTACATCATTGTGTTAGACACGTTATTTGTGGTTTTATGATAGCATTCCATTTTTCTTCTGATTTTGTGGCATACATGTTGTGTTATCTGTCTTATGTTGTTTGGCTGTAACTGATTACTGCTGATTAATGCTAACTGTTACTGCTGCCGACCTTCACCAACTACATTCAGTTGCACTGTAACACCAGAACACCAGCTGCTACGTTTATGAAGTTAGGTTTATTAACAGAAAGCAGTCAACAAGCAAGCAGGTAGATAGAGAGGTAGACATAAATGGAGAAATGGTTCCAAAGCTTCTCCCAAGTGGTAGTATTACAAATTTGACCAAACCTAATGAACAAAATTCCATTATCACTATGTCTTGTGTAAAAAGAAAAAAAATTAACAATATCCACTTTTATATTATTAATAGTGTCAAATAACACCCATGTAAAGGTGGCCACAGGGTGCACTTTTTGTGCAGCCTGAGCCAAAAGAAAAAATGTGGAACGTGACATGGCTTTGGGTGTATGCCAGGGAGGGAAAAAGGTACCACTGATATACAACATCTGTACAACTACAAAAGGTGGACACATCAAGTTGGGTTCCAACATATAAAATAGCTTTGAAAAACATAGTGTAATCTGGGGTCAGCTGATAGGGCAAACTGTGTGCAGCTGTGGACTGCACTCTGCTCATGTCAGCTCCGCTCTCTCTCCTGGTAATCCAGCAGTTTATGTCACTTGTCACAAGAGTTCTCTGTAAGTAAGTCCCGTGTTCACTTGCAATTTACCCAAGAGCAGCTAGGCTAATGTATATGAATGCCTACTGTAAAGAAATGAAAAATGGCTGTAGAATTTTACTTCATGAACAGTAGCATCTTGTAAATACTCCCATCGTTTCCAGTGGATGCACAACATGCACACTCACCCAGGCCAAGGAAGGAGAAGACCCACTGCAGCACCGCAGCTGTCTGCAGTCTCCTGTCCAACGGCATGTCCAAGGGGGCAAAATCAACCTTCATGTTTTCCACAAGAGGGGACAGACAAGTGGTGGCACTGCAGCTGGTCGTGAAGAAGGCCAAGTGAAGTGGGTCCAAAGTCTGCCCTTCTCACCTCTCCACAATCACCTCCTACTAAGTCTTATCTCAGAAACTGAATATATAGGGTTTGATTTGTCAATCCGTCACATCTGACTTTTGACCCTGCAAGAAAGGAGCTGCTACAATCCAGTCAATGAAGGGGAATGTCTTTTTAAGGTCTTTTCATGTTGCTTTAATAGGTTTTTTCCTTGCACTGCATGGAAGGCGGGTAGTGGTTAACCATAACTGTAATATGTTGGTCTATGAATTTGTAAAGGCAGCCCCATCTGGTTGAGCAACCACATAAGTGCATCTCTGGGTACAGATACAGACAGTGACAAAGGTCATTTGCAGAGGTGTAACACATTTCTTATCACAAGGCGTTATTATCAGGGCTGTGGGAAATGATTGGAAAATGCACAGCCGACAATCAAGGTGTGTGTGTAAAGGTTATCCAAGGTGTTGATGAAGAAAAAACAATAATAACAGGAGAGTTTCCCCCATTAGCTTCTGTTTGATTGACATTTGCCAGGGCCAATAGGTTTGAGTGCCATTCCATTTTGTTTGGCCCTTTCATTACAGCTTCATAAATTATTGATTTATTCAGGGTGTATCTCTTAATTACCTCATTAACACTTTGATCTTGAATATTAAGCTAGACAGTCAATGCTTTACCTGCACCCACTGACAAAAAAAGTAAATGCAGTTAAAGAAAAGGAAAATGTCATGCCTTAAAGCATAGTTATTTATTATTGCTTCTAAAAATGGGCTGTCAGCCTTCATTATAAACACCTATTTAGATAATGTGCCTGTCTTTCAGATGTCTTAGAAATTGTAGTGTAGATGTGAAACAGGCCCCTCGGGGTGTAATGAGTTGGCATTATTCATATATTCTGCTAGTTGTGGACACAGTCTGCCAATAATGCATTTTTTGTCACAAAGGCAATTTTGCATGAATCTGCTTACATTTAACAGACCTTTTTATGGCATTGATAAGCCATATTTTACATAGGATATGTAGCCTACTGCATTACTTCCTTACACATAAAAATACTTTATATTAATGAATCTTTATGTACAATAGTGAATGTTAATGTTAATCAATCTGGTATCATGATATTTCTCATTCATTTTATTTAGGTTACATTGTTTTGTTTTAATTAATATCCAAATGTTGAGATAAGCTTTGTGCGTAAAAACACATCGTTTAAGTCAAGCGCACCGTGTTCATCAGCCTTAAATCGGAAACCAATTATCAAGTTTCAGAATCAAAGCAGCAGACCCCCTTGAGTGTTTATGGCTACAGATGTGCGACATGAAGAGCGTGTGGTACCAGCCTATAGCCTAATAGCTCCTCTTCAACCCTTTCTATCTGATTTGTTTTCTTTCCGGGCGTTCCTTAAATGACTCAGCACGGCGTTTAAGCTGCAGTTGAAACCGGAAGTCATTGATATTCTCTCTGACTTGACTTTTATTTTCCTCCTCGGCGGCCCCAGTTGTGTCTACGGGATGCTGAGCAGGCGGGCGGGGCTGTTTTTCCTTGCGGTGCCCAGCCGTGGAGTGATGTAGCAAGACATAGGGACAGAGCGGGCACAGGGGGAAGCAGAGCAAACGTCTGTACGGTTAGTTTTAATTAAACTCGTTCAAACCTGTGTAGTTTAGAAACACAATGGATAATAATCGCATCTAACGCCAACAGTAGCCTACTGCAGCCGTCCCGACACACGGACATCTTGTTTCTTTAATACAAGGCCCACCGGAGGAGAGAAATATCTTTTTTTTTTTTTGCATTTTGGAACCGGTGCAGGTTGCATTGTAGTGGAGCTCTCGAAAGCTCACCATGGCGTGGCCCTGTATCAGCAGGGCGTGCTGCATGGCCCGCTTCTGGAAGGAGCTGGACAAGGCTGACATTGCGGTGCCTTTGGTCTTCACCAAGTACACGGACGCGTCGGAGATGCAGCACATCCAGCTGCAGCCGCCGCTCCACCCTTCCCAGGCCCGGGTCGCCATACAAACGCAGCCGTCTCGCGCAGAAAGCCGCACCACGACAGCGGAACGCGCGCCGCGAAGGTGCGTCTCCGAGGAGCGCGTGTGCAGCTCGGTGATGCGCGAGGACTATAAGCACTGGAGAGTGCGACCCGAACCGAGCTGTAAACCCAAGAACGAGTACCACGGACCGGAAACGCCGTTCAACAGCGAGACCCAGTACCAGAAGGACTTCAAGCCCTGGCCGATCCCGAAAAGGCACGACCATCCCTGGATACCCAAACCGCCTCCAACCACCTCCGCCGGTGAAGACCGGGCACCGGACAGGTCCAGGCACGCGAAGAAGCACGCGGCGCTGGCGGATGCGGAAAGCGGCGTGGAGAAGAGCGCTATTGCCGACAAGGTGCAGGAGAAAGACCTCCTGCAGGGGCAGGAAAGGAAAAAGAAGTCCAGTAAACAGGAGGGACAGAAGAAAGTTGTCCTGAAGGTGGAAGGAGAGGGCAGAGGGAGGGCGGCGGCGGACGCAGTGAACAGGCAGATCAAAGAGGAGATTACAGGCGGCAGCTCATACAAGTGAGTTATACACCTGTCCATATGGTGCCTACAGCTGGGAGTCAATATTGAGAGTCGGTTTTATAGGCTACTGTATACATTTTATCAGAAAACACAAGCAATTAATCTGTTGGAAGGTGAAAATGTTTAGGGACAGAATGGAAATGATTGTGGTGGGGAGGGGAGCTGAACTTAACTTATAATATAATAGGCCTCTCCAGCATTATTCATATTTTCCTTTCAAACTGCAACACCCTCAACAATATGTTCAATATTTAACACTATGACTTGTATATAGTTAATTCTGCCATTCATAAACAAAAGTGTGCAAAGAATTTAAGATGTTTTACTCCATTTTAAACCTTAATTTGTTAAAAGGAATAATACTTTTCGCATTTAGCTAACAGATAAACAGCACAATAAAAGTGGAATTGGCATTAATTATTGCACACTCAACAGAATGATGCACCATGTGCCAGCTATTCTTTACTTTTGAACCAGGAGCTGTAACTGTCATGTCACACCTCGTTTTACTTCATTGTAGTTCTGCTTTCTGTTAAGGTGCAGAACTACCAGCATCCAAAAAACTCCTTCTGCAAAAAGAAAAAATACTCCCCCTTTTCTGAACCCCCTTACCCTTGAATTATTTTCTCACATCCCCTTATTAATTGGAGGTGTCAGGACAACCTTTGCCTGGAATAAAATCTTTACAAAATGAAATTGGGGATAATTTGTCACCTAATTTTTGCAAACTAATTGAAAGACTGTTTTCTTGAAACATGTGAAAACATTGCAGAGCAGTGAACTTTTATTTTCCCTGCAGAAGGTAATTCAATGAAAAGGTCATGGGGGAGTTGTTGCCAAACATGTTTAGGTCTTTGAGGCTGATCACTCTGTCCTATTATGTAATGTTACAGCGGATGAAAGGGACTGGTGGATGGATGAGAATTAAGTCACGCATGTCACAGTCTGTACAAATATGAGATCCATTGAGCCTTCATTGTTGTCTGTTGCTGTAATCTAGGTTTTAGTGGAATTTTAGGGGTTTAGGAGTCTTTGTCTTACCTTAAAGAGTTATATCTCAGCATTTATATTAAATATTACAATCTCTGAAACCTTTCATTTGATTCAGTGTTCACTAGGGCTGAACGATTAATGGTTTTCAAATCGAAATTGAAATTTGAAAGAACACGATTAGCTAATCATGAAGACAGAAATTAAAATGAAGGTTAATTATACAGCACATCTGACCCATTTTAAACAGTCATGCAGTGACAGATTTGCACGCCAGTCTCAAGCGCCATGCGCCTCCTGTTACAGTCCTACTCACCAGTCAGAGCACAGGGCGTGTACATTTTACAACAAAAAACGAAACTGGAGGAAAACATGGGACAATGGCGCCAGCCGAACCACAAGACACATATTTTCTGAACTCACCAGGAAGTTCATCTTCCTCGCTTTCTTTTCTCTAAGTAAGTTAATGTCCAGTTTTGTCCGTTTTTTAAACATGAAGTAGTAGTACAACAGAGCTCTGGGTGCCAAACGACGCTAAAAACAACAGTGGAGCCAGATGTGCACTGAAACTAGCTGCTGAGAAGCTCGAGTGAAGATAAATCAACTTTCCCCCTGCGAGTAAACAGCGTAGTTGTCAGAGCAGAATCCAGTCCGACTACAGGTGTTTATTTGTCCAAAAGCTGCAGCACTGCTCTGTTTTGACTTCTCCCCCAAGTTTAGCAGCTCTCTGCTGGCCAGCGGCGTTTCAATCCCCGCTCTGCCTGGCCCTCTCCACACAACGCTCTGAAGCCGTCGGTGACATCCGGTTAATCTCAATGCTGTTAGGCTATCGCGACTCAGCGTCGTGCAACTTTCTCACTCCAGTTGAAAATTTTCAACTCACGTGAAGGCCTTCATGTTGCCACCCAACAGGAAATCGCATCTTTGCATTGACTTTGTATGTAAACGCACCGCCCCCAACACTCGCTTTTGGTCTGAAAGCACCTTTACATATCCACATGGAGCATTTCAGAATGAGAGTGTTTTGCCTGTCTGATTTCGCTAACTTTTTTGTGTTTCTACCAGTGTTATGTAGGCTATCCAGTTAAATTGTTAGTTTTTTTGTCTGTGTTAATTGTGTTTATTGTTGATGTACCGTTGGGAGTCTGCAAAGGGTGTTTTATTTTGAAAGTTGACCGGATTCTCTATGCTGTTCCGTGTCTGACTTCCTGCCTGGTTACTCTGCTCTGTGCTGCTTGACATGGCTTCTGTCAAAAAAAATCTTTTTTTCCCCCTAATCGTTCAGCCCTAGTGTTCAGATAAAGGATGCAGGTTTTTATTTTTTGGCTCAGCGTTGTCACAGAGTGCAGATCTGGGCAGATACAGGAACCCACGGCTGAAGTGTGATTTGGCTGGCAGAGGTGAAAGGCGCTATGTGAGTTCAGTGGAGTGAGTCTTACAGCTGTTTGGTGCCTTGCTTTGTTGGTGAGCAGTCAGCAGGGTGCAGCCCAGGGCTCTTTCCCCCCACATGGCATGAAATGGCTGCACTGTGACAAGCAGAAGCCCTGTCAACTCTCTATTTTCCTCTGCAGCAGAGACTCGAAGCAGGTCAACTGTGGGTTAATACCGTGGATGGTGTGCACACAGTTACACAAACACATGCACTAACAAGAAATGTGTTAAAGTATGTTTTGGCTTTCTTGATATCTGTTTTTGTGACCGAGTAATCATACAGGACTCTCACTGCACACAACAACCAAAAGCTGATCCCTCAATTAGGGCTGGTTGATATTGTTAAAATCAATTAAATCATATTCTCAACAATATTTTTCCAATGTTGATATGTCACTGGACAGTGTTTCACTTTTACATTTGACTTTAAAGGTTTAAAGGGACTTTTTCAGGTTCATACTTGTATTTAGGGTTTTTACTAGAAAATATACTTGCATGTTTTAATGTTGAAAAATATTTATAATATTTATTATATTTCTCATACTGTCCACTGCTTTAGCACCTCTTTTCATCCTCTTTCTGAACAATCAGTTTTAGACAGGGGCGCACTAAGCACCCCTAAAAATAATACAATAATTTATTATTATTTTCTGAAAATAATTTTTTTTAGAATTTTAGTTAACGTTAGATTTTGGAGAAGCAAGAGAAAGGACAACCAATTAACCTACAGTTTCATATGGCTTTTCTTACATTAAACAGGTTTAATGTCCCTAAATACTGGCATTTTTCAGTTTCTAATGTTTCACCTAATGAAAGGTTGTTTAGCACAATATGAAAATATGCAATTCAATACAGTTTTCCTTCATATACAGAATGCAGGAAATTACGAGTTTAATGCTCAAAATCTTCTGGGGGAGGACCTCCAGGCCCCCTGCACATATATGTCAACATCAAATATCCATATTTGGACGAGACGGTGGAGCTAATGGCCGTGTGTGGACTTAAAACAAGGCATGCTGGTTAGAAATTGTGTCCAACTTTCGCAGGCGCTGCAAAACGTCACCATGTCACATGACATTTAAACCTCGCAGCTGCAGGCGCTGAGTCCGGCGGCCGCAGTTGCTTTTCCACGACTGCACCAAGTTGGAACCACACTATTGCCTGGTCTCGCAGTATTTGTCTTTGCAAATGCCGCGAGATCAGTCATTGATCTCAGCTCACAGTAAGCCGCTGCAGGTAGAATGTGTCCGACTTGACTGCCCCTGCAGCTCACATTAGACTATCAAGTAGGCGAAAGTCAGCCGCCGTCATCTTGAATGAGATGCAATGTAAGCTTTTTCAACGGTGCTGGTTAAATTTACACAGTGCTGTGGGTACGAGTCACTCTGGCCTGATTGACAGGTCACCATGGTAACAACTTATCAATCATAGATAATCCTGCCCTGAATACTCTGCTTTATGGTCTGTTTTCTAAATGGTTCCATAATTTACTAAATGAACATCAAGTTGTATTGAAGAAGACTTGAAACTAGCGACTGAAACCATAAATTGTGTTTACTGAGGTAGTAAATCAGCTGAGAAGTAGGGTCATTTTACCATTATTTCTAATGGAGCTGGACAACCAGAAGAGTCGCCCCCTGCTGGCCGTTTGATAGAATGCAGGTTTAAGGGACTTCACGTTCGGGTCAGTTTTCCGCTTGCTTTAAGGCCCCCCTCCCTGAAACCCCACTTGCTTCTGATTGGCCAACTTCCACAAGCACAGGAGAGGAGAGTTGAGGAGAAAATACTGTCCGGTTTTTCCTCTGATGTCCTCCTGCTGCTCTGCCTCTACTTTTTCCGATTCACTGAGTTTATATGTTACTGGTTATACTTTAGCATCTAACCACTGCTAACAGAAGCTGCTAGTGCTACTATGTCAGCTTCTCAGTTAGCCATGCAACTAACCGTCCTAATGCTGATTGTACCCTGACTGGAAGCTTTGTGCTCCGGGGGGGATTTGGTCTTTACACCTCTAACATTAATGTTAACGTTACTACAGAAGCTTTGGACGGCTGGTGGTTCAGATCCAGCTGACAACAGCTATTTTTTTTTTTTTAAACGCATTTAAGATATTGTTATCATACTCTATGCTTATGTTATAAATCGTTTTTATATCAGTGATTTGTGTGATTAGAGTGCAATTTTTAGATCTTAATTTTAAATTTTCATTCACATAAACAGTGAATAACAAGCTGCAGCAAGATGGAGAGGCCGGCTCTAATGACAGCAGTCTCCGGGAGATTTACACATTACAATACATTACTCAAGCAGCTTCTGTTAATTCATGTTTATTCCATGGCAAAATAAACCTTGACCTTGTTAATGTGCACAATATATCTGTTTAACAAAATGAAAGTTGTGCTGTATCTTTTCTGTTAAAAAAACGACCCACAGAGTATTTTTAAGTTAAGTTTACTGCTATAACCGCCAAGGTTAGCATAGCATCGGTAGCAGATAAAAGGGCAACTTCCTGTTATCAAAACACTGTCAGACGTGAATCTCTAGCAGTTAATACCATGAGTGGCCCACAATGCAGC